TGTTCTGCAACAGTGGAAGCCTCCATAACTGTATAGACAGGAATAAAATTAGCCTTAAAATATAAAGCAATTTTATCAATATTGCCATTGAGTTATTTAGTAAGAACAATGAATAGTAACTTCCTTATATAAATTTTGTTTTTCTTTTTCACTAAGCAGCTGTAATATAAAAATTTCTTTCCATTTCTTTATTTTGAATTTTAAATTGGTTTGTGCACTAGAATGAGAAGTTACTCAGTTGGGAATGGCAAATGGAAAGGAAAAATTTCCTTCATTAAAGAAAACGTAGTTTAAAGGTGACTCTTGATAGCTAAAATTTGTTTGCCCAGCCATACCCTCACTTATTTGTGCGAAAGTAATTCAATTTGTCAAATTAGCTTTGACTCCTTAAGCTTTTTAAAGTGTCCTGAGAGTGAAATAGTACTTGTTTTTAGTGGAGAAATTTTATCTTTCAAGTGGAGTATATTTTAAAGATAAACACAATGTGTTTTTGTAATAACATGTTTAGCTTTAAATCTTTCAAATAAAGAAAACAGTTTTCACTTTGGAAGAAATAAGAAGGAAATTATGTTATGAAAGAAGCCTGTAGTTCTTCTACAATTCCTGTATGTCTCAACCTAAGACCGATGAACTTTATTTACTTACTGAAAATAAACACAAAAACCATAGAATATGATGGTGAGAAAATGCAAAAATCCCAAATGTTCTCCTTGTATAAGTACCACAAAGATCAAGTCCTGCAAATTCCATAATAGTTTCTGCTCTTGATTAGAAAAACTGCAAGGCTGGTCTGTCTCACAGTATTTTTGCTCTTGGCTGAAGCCAGTATAGATGTAAGTGAAAAGAGAAAGTTAACTGAATCTTGTTAATAGTCATGCAGGCCAGCAAGATGCAAATATGTAATAAGAGTAGGGGGATGAGGCTTTTATTGACACTGCAGGTAACTTTCCTGGCCTCAGCATCTATGCCAGATAGGTGCGGTTTTACTGCTTGAGATTGCAAACTCCTCCCCTTGAATCCAATTTTAAAATAGTATTTCTCATACTTTCTGAGGATAAAAGCTTCACTCTGCACTACTTAGAAGATGTGGTCACATGAAGTCATGAAGGATTCTGTCATCTCTTCCTTTCTTCTTTAGCCACTTGAAACGTAATTTAACAATCCATGTTTTTTCATGTGTCATCTCAGGTTAAATGTTGCACTAAAAGGTATAATAATGATGAAGATATAAAATTAAGATATCTCCTGTTAGTACAACCACACCTTCTTCCCCCTTTCAGTTTCTTTTTAATGTTTTTATGACTTCTGTGTCTTTGTGTTTGACCTCTTAATTTGGTCAGCTCAGGAAATATTGTTAAAACAGATGCATTCAGCTTATCGTTACCATGTGTACACAGATATATACAGTAAAATTATCTGGTGTATTGCTTGTCAGTGATTTTATCAGTGTTTTTCTTTATAAAGACAGTTTCTTAGGCTTTATTCGTAACAGTTTTTTTCCTACCTAATTCTATCTGAATAACCTTGCTAGGACAACCAATAAATAAGATTTTGTTACAATTGTTAAGGAAGTGGGACATGTGGATAAATTATGGTACAGATAAATATGAAAGCTAAACACACATCTATAGCTGGAAATTACAAACCTTTTGAGTTGTCCAACAAAGTAAGCTGTTTGTCAATTAATTTAGAAGGTGAAATTTAAAGATTGCATTTTTTTGTAATTGAAACAGAAATTAAAGAAGTATTTCCAAAGACATGTTATATATTCTTTTTCTCTTACGTTAATAAAAGCAGATGAAATGAAAATGAAAATGCCTGAGAGTATTTGAAAACTAAAATCACAGAAGTTACTTTACACTGTGAGCAGTACCTGATCATTCATGCAAAGAACATAGATTCAGAAGAATTCAGTTGTGGCCTCTGCAATTACAGGCACATTAATATAAATTCTTTTTGAAATATTGAGGTATGGCAGTTGAATATAATAAATACACATATTTCAGTTTAGAAATATATTATACAAAGTAAGTGTGTGGTTTTGCTTAAACGATACAAAAAATGTTGTTTAAGTTTCTGCAAAAAAAAAGAAATCTTGTACATAACATAATGGATTTTAAAGCTCTCATTTTGGTCCTTCTTTCTGCTCATTGTTCTTCAAATTTCTTGCTGTTTTGCTTTTCTCTTTGTCTTGCACAGACCACCAGACTACACCCACAATCACATTTGGGAAACTTCCCTGACATGTGGTTTCTGCAGTTTCCCTCTGCTTTTCATCACTGGTAGAAAGCTCTGTCCTTGTGTTTACTTGGTTTCACAAATGATTATTGAAACTCATTTCTTTGTCTTACTGATGAATTGTTTATATGTTATTCCATGACTTTAGTGGGATGTACTCCAGTACAAAATGTGGAAAGTATAAGCTTGTCAGAAGAGAAATTCAACAAATAGGGCTATAATCACCTGGAAAGAAAATATGTACAGGTATAAAATCTTGGTATTGGTTCATTAGGATGAGATAAAGGCTATTTTATCTCTTCATGGAATATCCTTCAAAAGCAGGAATATGGAGGTATCTGAACCATGCAGAAACACAGAATAATGTTCAGGGCCCTTTCAAATCTTAGACCTTGCACTGTAGCATTTACCTGTTGAACAGAAGAATTCTCATCTCTTGAGGCAATATTTATACACAAGGTAATGCTGTAGTGACCTTCAAAGTTTGGAAGTAAATATAAAATATTTAATTTTCTTTTCTTCTCCCGTGTCTGGTAATTTAACTTCTAGCCCTTGATTACATGTAGGTAAGAAAATTTGTGTGTAGAAAGCTTTCTCAGTAACCCATTACATATTGCCATGGGTTGAATTTTAAAATTTCAAGACAAACATGAAAGCTGATATGAACAAACAGTGTTTTAATTCAGGTGATTGTCTGTAGATGCATTACATTGTGGTATGCATACACTAGCAATTATAGAGGAACATTTATGCTGGTGTATCCGTGGGAAACCCCCTGTAAGCCCATCTTCCTCTGCATGCAACTCGCATGGTAATAAAGTGGCAGAGCGTCGCCCCTCCTTCGCTTTCTTAACTGCTTTTCTGAGCCACAAACCTGTATTGTCCTTCTGAATTTAGATTCTATTTTAATTTCGATAAGGACTTCTGTTATGTGTTCATTTTGGGGGTTTTTAGGACTTTTGCATGAAGTTTACTCTTGGATGCTGCCCTTTTTCCACATACTTCGGCTTCTGTTTTTTACCCTTACACAGTTTGGCTTTAAGCTTTCCCTTCCAGTCTCAAGATTTGTTCTGCCTGTGGCAAAAAATGTTTCATTCCCAATGGGCCTGCCCACTGCTTTTGCTTTCTGTGAGAAGGAAACATCACAGCTAAGAGTTCTGTTTGACATTTAGACCTAGAACTAAAAAAAGATGAAACTGCAGCATCTTATGAAATCTTCATTTACCAAGTCCATGGTTTGATGGATTTGCTCAGCAAAACCAACACAATACAGTTGGACCCTACTCTGTTCATAAATCAGCCCCCCAAAAGAAATAAATATAATCAAAACCATGCTTGGTCTTCAGGGTCACTCCCTAGCCCTAGGAAAGTTCATATAATCCATGTTTGCACTTACATGAAGTCCAAAAAGTTTCAGTAGAGTGTCTAGTAGTTTTCATTCAAAATTCTCCTATTGACCTGTTGAAAGAAACAAATAAAAGTAATTCCACTTGCAGACCTTTCTTTCCATCCCTGCACATTTATCATCACTGAGGAGCACAAGCTGAAATTTATCCTATGAGGTTACTGCCAGCCATTTCACCACTTGACTTGTTCCAGTGTAATAAGAGTTTGACACCAGACTGTCCAATGCCAATGTGCCACCATAACATCACTTCAAGAAGTCTGTGCTCTGGAAATTTCTAAATCAGAGAGAATACTTTCATACTGAATAACCCTTAATGAATTTTCTTGTTTTCTTTGCATTTGCCTAACATGTAAATTTTTTGAAAGCCACTGCAATCCTGCTCCAAGGACTTTCAACTTCTCAACTGTACATTATTTAAACACAACTTTGATTCTGAACATGCCACCTACTAATTTCATCTGATGATCCCAGTTCTTCTCCTAGAAGAGAGATCCTGGTGTGCCTTTCCCACTCTACTCAAGCTTCTGTACATCTATATCAAACTGTTCCTTCTTTTTCTTTTATTACCTTGAGTGTTCTTGTTGGTTAGTCATTCCTTCTGCAGAACAGTTTCCTACCAGTGATTATCCTTGTTGTCTTTCTCTAAACATTTTTTAATGTTATGATAACTTTTTGAAAAATGGACCAGATCTGCCCACTGTATTCAAGATCCAGGTATGCTGTTTCTATTTCATTTTTATGGGCAAATTTAGACATTTTTCCAGGGTCTTTTTTGTGTCCTTTATTCACATTTTACATTGATTTTTCATACTCTGAGGTGCACCATGATTCTCCCACAGTTGCTGTCATGACTTGTGTAACTTTTCCTCTTAAATATTCCTGAATACTCATTGGCATTGATACAAGAAAATAATGTTGTCATTCCTTTGTCTTAGCTGTCAGACTAAATGTAGGAAACAGGAGACACTTTGAGAGCCTAAAGTGTCTGTTGCTGTGTTAGATGCCCTGAGGTGTGCAAGGCGCCCATCTGGCCACTCTGATATTACTGATAAGTGAGACTTGCACCCTTCTAAAGTGACAGCTGGAGATTTTTTATACCTTGCGGTATGAAAAATGATAGATACCTTTATTTAGGCACTGAATTTCTGCCTGTTAAGTGGTATGTAAAACAGTCTAACTCTCACATGTCAGTCAAAAGAGCTCCAAGTTCCAAATAGCCATATTCTTTGGTGAAGGCAACACAGCAATAGCTGCAGTTTTGAATGAATATGTCATGGCAATCTCTTTGTTAAACATTTGCATATAAATACTGATTGAATATTTTAAAACGATGTTTCTTTTGATTCTCATTTAGAATTCTGGGGAGATGGTTCGATCGTTTGTTGGCGGCTTGGAACTGATAGTCAATTTGCTAAAATCGAAGGATAAAGAAGTTTTAACAAGTGTATGTGCAGCCATTTCACATATAGCTAAAGATCAAGAAAACTTAGCTGTTATGACAGATCATGGAGTTGTTCCTCTGTTGTCCAAGCTAGCAAACACAGTAAGTAACATTTAAAGGTTTCATAAAAAGCATTTCTTAATTCAGACTGCATTATGCCCAACTGAAGGGTTATGACAAGAGCAGTATATTTTGCAGCAGTTACAAGGAAGGGCTGTAGCGTCATTCCTCTTTGGGATGTATATTGGACATCAAAACAGTCTGTGTCTGCTACTAAAATTGGTTTGGAAGAGGAGCTTCATTTTAATAGTTACTGTTGCAGAATATTGCTTTTGAGAGGTGCAGCTGCTGTATGAGAAAGGCACAAAAGGTTGAGAAAACAATTAATCCAAACATGTAGAAGAATCTCACTGATGGGGCTATATTTTACATTTTATTGCTATATTATCTAATTTCCAGTCAGTCTAAAAGTGCATTTGAAACAATATAAAAATTCACAGCACTTGCTATAAAAAGAATATTAAGGGACTTTAATAGCTCTATGCCTTACAGCTGTCTCCAATTTTAATTGTACTGCAATTAAATTGGGATGCCTTAAAGATCTGTGGGAATTCTGCTTTCCGATGAATTTTTTTGTTGTGTGTTGACTTTCATTTGTTATGTTTTTACCTTCTTCAGAACAATAACAAGTTAAGACGTCACTTAGCAGAGGCCATTGCCCACTGTTGCAAGTGGGGCAGCAACAGAGTTGCCTTTGGAGAGACCAAGGCTGTGGCTCCTTTAGCACGTTACTTGAAGGCAAAGGATCCGTTAGTTCATAGAGCTACAGCTCTGGCTTTATATCAACTTTCAGAGGATCCCAACAACTGTGTCATCATGCATGAAAATGGAGTGGTGAAGGTGAGGTGGAAGTTTTTTCTTACTTGGGACTCAAGCTATTGAAGAGGTTTGGCATGGTCAAAAAAAGACATCTTTAATTTGAAATAATTCTTGAATACTGCTGTGTATCTTAAATTTTCTAAACTTTATCCTAAAAATATTTGGTTAATTAGTGAATTAGGAAACAGGATTTTGATGTCAAAAATATTACAGCGAGGTGGGTTTTGAGAATGGAAGTATGATGTGGACATTCACCTTTAGAGTACTCAACTCTGACCTATGCTGCTTGTTGCTGGTGGCATGACATCATTTTGTCATTCTCAAGTGACATTTGCTAAAGAAGTTGGGTTATCTTAATGGATGCTTGCCTAATATGGCAGTAGGCCACCTAGACATTGAGTGTAACTGGATTTGGGGACAAATTAAGATACCATAATACAAAGGCTTAGTTTACCTGGAGCTGTTTTGGTGAATTCTTAATTTACTTATAAAATTCTTATTTTAGGAGTTAAGCATAATAACATTCTGCAAAGATCTTAGAACAAAATTTTCTTTCAAAAATGTTTTTTAGCAAAGTGTTGTCTTACTAGTTGAAGGCAGAAGAGTTACTCTTTGGCACAGGAGAGATGAGCATTATGGCTTTAGAGACAGAGATACTAGGAGTTCTCAATTTTCATAAATTCCCTGAAAGATTCACTGTATGCAGACCTTTCATTTTACTTCATGTTCAGCTAAATGTATTTACAGTAAGAGTTGACTTATAGTGCAATGTTATTATTAATGTTGATTTATGCCTGCATTTATGGTAGTGTACTTCATTGTGAGCAGTTTCAGTTCTGGCACAGTTAATGGTCCTGAATTATCATGCGTTCACCTGTGCACTGTTGGCTTTAAAGGATCCACTGGTCAAAAATACTTAAATATTCAGTTTAAGGCCCAGTACTTGAACTTACTCAAATGTGAGCTACCCTTGCAGCACTGGAGAGTAACACCTTCCTATCACAGTCACATATATTGGCTATATATTGGGATATATGCTGTACTAAAGCATTAGCATTTGTTGAATTTTCATCTTGCTTCTCTCTGTGTTCAACTGACACAATCCATTTTCTGAGCTTCTGTCATCTGTTTTCTTTCATTTTATTATTATTAGATTTCAGGTTTTATAAGTTGCAGTGCACTGATTCTGATGATGCACTTCTAGAATAATTCCACCTCACTCTAGGTTCACCTTTATTTTTCAGTCTTAATTAAAGTGTTTGGACTAATAAAAACATTAATTTGTGCTTCCAGATAAATAGGGATGTACAGAAAAATATTTTTAAAAAATAATGTTTTTTATTATTCACAATATTCTGCATTTTCCAAATGTGCTGGTCCAAGTGCTTTTGTTCTGTGTTGCCAGATCTGAGCAGATCATGGAGCAAATCAACACATGCACCATGACAGCTCAGGGCACAGATGACCAATGCACCAACACTTAAGAGCTTGACTGCCTTGCTGGCACTATTGGAATTGCCATCAAGAACCAATAACTGGAGTTTCAGAAAGGCTAGACAGGCATTCCCAGATGGCGAGGAGAGTGGGTCTAGATTTAATTGCAGAAACGCTCGAGTCAGTACAGGGCTGAGTCTTGCCTGGCCTGTTCAGTTGGTCTGCACAACACGGATGATACAGTAGTTGCAGCACTGTTGGAGCCCTGGATGCTGAGAATTTTAAACTTTCTGTGCTGAAAGGCACAGACTCGCAAGAGAGCACTGCATTTGACCTGAGGCTGTGGAGAAGGTTTCTAAACTTTATTAATAGCACTAGGATTACAGGTGTGTAGTTGGTTACAAGTGTGTAATATCACAGGGTGGAAAACTTAGAGGTTTTAGAATATAGTAATAAGTATGAGGCAAGATGGAGGTTTTAAGGTGCAGACAGGTTGTTGTTCTTTACTTTCTTCTTCCTTCTGCTTCATGGGTTTGGATGGTATTTTGTAATTGGACAGAAAAGTCCACATTGCGGGCTTCGAGAGCTCAGTTATTAGGTTAAAAGGGAAAATAATCTAGGTGTCAGTTCTTAATTGGGTAGTTTAGCCTTAAAAGACTTTGCAACAAGAGATAGTTAGCCATTTTGTGCCTTGCTTATATAGAGGTTGTTACGTACAGGTTATTCCAGGAACAATCATATTTTTTTAGGAAACTTATTTGGATCTGTTTGATTTTTTTTTCATCTTTTACCAGATATCTGGTGTTTCAGTGATCATGCACGGTTGGATTAATGTCACAGCCTCTGTAGTTGCGGCTGGGTTGCCTAATCCCAGGTGTTCTTCAGCACATGTTCTGTACAGGTTATTCCAGGAATGATCGTATTTTTTTTAGGAAACTTATTTGGATTTGTTTGATTTTTTTTTTTCATCTTTTACCAGATATCTGGTGTTTCAGTGATCATGCACGGTTGGATTAATGTCACAGCCTCTGTAGTTGCGGCTGGGTTGCCTAATCCCAGGTGTTCTTCAGCACATGTTCATGTGCTGTGTTCATGTACAAAGAATGTGTGATGCTTCAGGGAAACATTTAGCCTGTGTGAATGACACAGTTGCTGAGTGCTTTAACAGTTGGTCAGAGACTTTCTCAAAGCATTAGACTTTCTGACCATTCCCTATTCAATGTGTATATACATGTTTTTGTCCAGGAAACTAGTAATAAATTTATAAACAGAAAATAATTCCAATCAGAGTGTTGTATTTCACATTTTGCTACTGCTTCTAACATTATTTGCGAATCACAAAACAACAGTGAGAGAGAACCAGTGTTGGATATTTTCACCTATTTGTAACTGCACCCAAAATACATTCAATTTTGTCAGGTGGGTCTATATGATAAAAATCTTGGGAAGTCACTGGTGTATGTCAGCTGCCATGTGAAATTACAAGGAGACAAACAGGGATTTTGGAGGAAGTTTAGAAAGGCAGTTTATGAAGTTAATCTTTTATGTTCAGTTCTACAATCAATGTTCTTATGACTGGGAATGGAACAATGGTTATGACCTGTGACAGATGAATAAATGTTTTCTTTCTACCAAACACCAGAACATATTTCCTCTTTCTCAAGTAAAAATTCATGGCTGTGCTGGAAAATAGATTTGCATTTTCAAAGATGCAGTAATGACTTGTGGAACGCAAGACAGCAAGAGAAATTGATAGACATCAGAGTAAGGAACAGGTATCAGTTTGAATTCAAGATTGGGGACAGTCATTCAGAAACCAAGGAAGAAGAGAAATCCAGTGAGGGTTTGGCAGTTTACAACTGAGATAACAGGAATATCAGGCAACATTCTTTATACTTGGAGACTGTGACCATTATAGAGAAAATAAGAGAAGAGAAATAGGAAAGTTCACAGGCAACTGAAAGCAGCACCAAGCCATCACCACTCATGGAAACAGCAGAACATTTTCCTTAAAGCTATTGCAGAGAAACAATGATGTCCACCTATATTTGCCTGCTGCTGAAACCTTAGAACAATCAAGCTTGTTCATGAAAAAGAAGTCTGTGAGCTGAAGAGTACAGGTTTATTACAAGGGAGGCCCTTGTAAGAAAAATTGTAAAATGACTGGGGAGGAAATGGGAGACTAAGGAAGTGCAGTTACTTTAGTAGTGAAAAGATGAGTGTAAACATGTTTTAAAGGAAGAAGTAAAGTCATCAGAAGATGCCAAAAAGTATTTAAGTCATTTTCCTACAGACCATGTCAAGATAATACAATGCTACTCTGTGCTACAGTCACTCTTTTTCTTGCTTATGTTGGCAAGCTGTAGATTTGGATTGTTTCTGAAGTGAGTTAGTGAGGATGGGGGTGTGATAGGACAGGCACCCATGCAACTGCTCATAATATACCTTCTAAAAGGCTTCAAGTATTAAAAAAATTCAAAGTATATAAATGTGAAAAACATGCAGCTGATTATTCCTGGTCATTCTTCCTTCGCAAAAGAAGGAAGGTGATCTCTTATGGAAGGAATCTCTTATGGATAATCTCTTATGGAAGTTAATTTCTGCTATTGCAGAAGTTAATTTCTGACTTTGTAAGAGATATAAAGGATTTGGTTTTGTGGATGATAGTGGTGGTGATGATGATGATGATGATGATGATGATGATGATGATGATGATGATTTCTGTGTAAAAAAGGCCTAGGAAGTTTGAATGGCTTCATCATCTACAGAGTTGAGGTCAGTCTTTTATTATGATGCTAATGATACTCTGCGAAGTCTCTGAGGAGATTTCTAAAGTAATGAAAAAAGTAAGAACAAGAGAAAATAAGCACCAAAGGCTGTGGAAGAACAAAATTAATCAAATTAGTAATTCATCTTAACTTTAAATGTTTACACAGTGCACATGCCAAACTGAAATAGTCATCCCAATTCTTATAATATTCAAGGAAGAAGAATAGTTTTTTTACTGTTTCATCTCTTTTAATTTGGACATTTATGCAAAGATAAGGCATCTTGGTTTCTACTGACAATATTTTCTGGTCTCCTTTGGCTGTAAAGACAGTGCAGGTTCAAAGGTTAGAGCTGCACATCTATGCTGTAGGTATCTCTGTTTAATGGGGTGAATCCCATCGAAGGCAGTGGAGAACTTTTAAAAATGAGCATACAGTCCATTTCATGATCAGATAGGAATGACAGAATTCTGAATAATAGTGCAATAAGAAAGAGCTATTAAAAATATTAATTTTTCTTTTCCTAGAAGAATACAGATGAGTTGAATTTATATGCTATGATGGTGATGAAACTCAATCTGCCCAGCCGTAACTGAAGCACACTTTGAGTATGATCTAATAATGCCAGATGTTTTAAATTAGTGGATCTAACTAACTTGAATCCAAGGATTTTGAAAGAGATCTTTGGAGTATTAAGGATGGATTCCTTTCATCTAACTTTGGCCACTTTTAGGTATGAAGTTTAAAGTAGTCTAAACTAAGACATCTTCTGTAGGCAATGGAAAGAGAGAGACACCTGCAGACTTATCCTAGCTGAAA